AACACTGTTACTTCACATTGTCTGTGAATAAGCTTTGAGGAGCCAAATTGATTAAAGCAACTTTAATTAATTAGGATAGTGTTAACTCTTTAAGGGTCCAAATAAATTGAATAGTTGAATTTGACAGCAACATCAAAACTTTTGTGATATTTTCTCGTTGATTTTACAATCGCAATCACATCAAGCATTCGTTTCTTTTTTTCCCGCTTTATTGCCAATAGTTATCATTAAACCTCTCACTTTTTAGACCCATTTTTGAGATCCATTTATATTATATATACATTTTATTCCAATCACATCGACGTTTTTTTCTCGTAATGATTTTCATAAGTACACTATAAAGTTGCCCTTAAATTTATCTTAATTAACATTTCCCTCTCTGCCTCTCCATTCATTTCCTTATAATTTTCATGCAATTTTATTTATTCATCTACTCCCTTCATTTTATAAATTATTTTTATTAACCTCATCAATATTAATATTATAAAAATAAAAAAATAAAATTAAGTAAATTTTTAAACATAGTCTTTAAATAAAATATAAAAAATAAATTATATAATATTATTTTTTGTCTTTCTTTCTTTTAAAATATTAATTTAAAATAAAATAATCTCATTCGTTAATAATTTATAAAGTGAATCACATCGTGCTTTTAAAATGTGATTAATATATAGGAACGAAAGAACACTTACTAATCTCACATCGACTATCTATTAAAAATGGACATCTGGGACGGATCTTGGAACTAATTGAAGAAGGGCCAAAGTGAAAATTAAATATGAAATGGAGAGATTAAAATCTATTTTAAAACTTTTTATGAGCCAAAAATTTAAATTTTTGTCAAGAATGGATTGAAGTGGACCTGACTTTCTCTCTATTTTTTTTTAACCGCTCATCTCAATCATTAAATTTATTATTGAATAATTGAGATTTGATATTTTATAAAATTATTATTAAAATATAAATTTTTATAAAAAATAAATTAATTAATTAATTTTATGAATTTTACTTATTAAAAAATAAATTTAATAATTGAGATGGAAAGTGGGGAGAAAAACGGAGAGGGAAGAATTAAGAGAAGTCAGATTTAATTGATTTTTTTTTTTTTTGACGGGGGGGAGGGGGAGGAGAGAGCACGCTGCACGCCTCCGTGTCCCAATTTCGTCCCTACTTATTGGAAACGATGAGATCAGATCTTATTCAATTTTATTTTATTTAAAAAATATATATTTTTTTATTTAAAATGTATAATTTAAAACTATATAATAAAATCTGTTATGAGTATTAAATTTGAAGTTTAGTTCTTATTGTTAAAATTTTATTAATCTTAATAAACTTTGTTGGCATGGCTAATAATATATCATCTTAACTTAATATTGTAAATATGTATAATATAATGCAATAGAAGTGATATAAATATAGATAAGAAAATAATATCAATTAAAATATATAATAAAGTATTTAAAAAATTGTAATTATAAGTTCTAAATAACAAGGTCCTTGAATGAAGACCTAAATAAAAAAATAAGCTATAAAAAACAAATTGAAGATTAAGATAATTTATTATTAAGAGTATAATTTTCCTTTTTCCCTTCTAAATTACAGGGACGTTTAAATTTTACTTAAAAGATAAAGATCAATTTTATTATTATTATTATTATTATCTGTCAAGTATTTTCCACTATAAACAACAAGAGTGAGACCCCACCAACAATTATCAAACTTTAAAATCAACTCCCGTCAATTGTATTGGCTGAAACTTTAAGCATGTTAATTATAATAAAAGCTATGAGCAGTTTCCTCTGTAGTTTAACTTTGATAGAATCAGTTTAGTAGAATTATCAATAAAAGTAAAGCAGTGATTAACAATGGTGGGGCCCAAGCTTTTCACTAACCATTTTGCTCGTTATCCGTGCGCCACACGAGGAAGCCTGTGAGATTATAATTTCTAATGGTTGATTAAGTTTAATTGGGAAAGTCATATAACACCTTAATTATTATTTATTTGAAAAGTTAATTAGTGTGAGTTATGTCAAAGAATGTGTTGTTTTCACTGATGTTTGGTTCAAAATTTTCCAGCATGAAGCAAATCTTGCTTTATATATTATTAGATATTATTAGATATGGTCCTATTGATTCTACGGCTGTCCCTCTCACATTGACCTCACCTAGCCTTGGCTCTATTTGAAATTATGATAAATTTTTTTTTTAAACTATTAAGGTTAAATATCAAATTAGCCCTAAGGCTTTAAATTTATTTTTAATGTAATAATTTTTTTTAAATTTTTTAAAAGAGTACAATCTTATCCCTATCATTAACAAATATAAAATTTAACCAATATTTAATAAAAAAATTTAAAAATTATAGAAAAAGATCAAGAAACTTCTTATAAATTTTTGAATCCTCATTTGCAATTTTTAAATTCTTTTTTATAAATTTCTGAATTTTTCTTAATCTTTGATGTATTTTTTTGTAATTTTTGTTTAACAGTTAAAGTTAACATTTATTAATAATAGAATAATATTACACCATTTTTAAAAAAATTGAAGAAAAACATGGCATAATAAAATGAATTTACGGTTCTAAACATTCCAAGACCTCTACTTTAAAAGTAAAATTATACTTTCACTCAAAATATTATTAGTAGTAGTTTTTTAGTGTATTTTGGTAGGGAAATTAAAATGCACTTCATTAGTTCACAAAAATGGTGGATATTCATTCCTATTTCGTAGTGGCATGGACTGACTCTAGCAAATCAAATCAAATCAAATGCTTTTTAATAATTCATAACCAAAAAAAAAACTTGTTAATAATAAAAATTTGTAGAAATTTTTGCTGCATAAAATTACATAGTTAGTATTCTTTTTTCCAATCAAAATAGGGAAAGGGATTTTAAACTTTAAAAAGATTAAAAATATTTATAACAAGAATATGTTAGAAGGAAAATCATGAAAAAAATTCCATATAGCCTTGTTTAACAATAAAAAACTACCTTAATTATATAAGCTTAATTATCTAAATATTTTTCCTTAAATTTTTTTCTCAATCTCTTAATCCAAACAAAATGTTTTTTAAAGGATAAAACTTGAGTTTAAAGTTAAGAATCAAATTCAAATTAATGTTAAGCTTAAAGAGAGAGAAATAGAACTTAAAATAAAGTATCAAATGAAAATCAAATAAAGGGAGGAAAGCAAAATCAAAAATGAAGTTAAGCCATAAAACAAGAGTTAACTAAGAACTAAAGAATATTTACCAAAAAAACTAAGAATTAAATAATTAATATGAGACAGGAAGTAAATTTAAGGAACAAAATATATATGGGTTGGTTTATACAATTTGGGAATATATGAAGATCAAATTTTTAAATAAATTTCATTGATTATTTCAAAAATAAAATTTTGGACGTTCACATATCATTCAAGTCACACATTATTAAAAAACAAAAACCATGGTTCCTCTCGTAGGGTAACCCACGCCATTAGGAATAAGGGTGACTGGTAAACTAGCCTTATTTAAAATTTGGGCCCCCATTCAAACAGATGAAACATAGCAGTGCATAAATGGCATATCTTTTTTGGACAAACATTGCACATGATTGAAATGCAAACTGTTTCTTTACCCGTCCACAAGCCCTACACTTCTTCCCACAGCGAAAGCCACACATACACATATTCACTATTTACTTTCTTTTTCCCACAGCGGCCTGAAATTGTAAACGAGATTAAATCCACAATCTTTCACTTACAAAAATGTTTACATGTCATTAACTATTCACTATTTACTTGAACCTTATATGGTTTAAACTCATGGCATCTTTTATCTGAAAGAATCTTATGCTACTAGCTTACAGACCGTTGACAAAAAAAATAAACGAACAAATGAATGAATTTGTTGAGAAGGTTGATTTTTTTTTTGAATTTGATTGATCATAAGTGACAATTTGCAATCTACACAACCGACCTTACATAGTAGAATAAAATTCATTGTTGTTTTTGTTGGATAATTTTCTGAATTCGACATGTCTCAACAACCAATATCTCACTAATTCAATAAAATATACTTAATGCCGAAAAGAACATTGATGCAGATTCACCGGACATTCTCTCCATAAATTTTAATAAAGGGAAAAAAATATGAAGGAAAAAAAAAACAAAAAAGAAAAACTCTTAAAAATGATAAAAAAAATTTATTATTTTTATAAACGTCTCTCAAGTATTCTCTCTTCCCACTTTTCTTCTCATTTTTCCCTCCATGCAAACCAAGCCTAAAACAAAATCCTCCAAATAGAGCACCTGATCAAAACCATTAAAAAATGTTGGCCGAAATAAAAACTACTGTATAAAAATCTTGGCCCCTAGATCCTTCAGAGACTTCAGTTCGATCAAGAAATTTCAACTTTTGGATCGTATCAATTGCTCCAATGTCTTCAGCCGCCAAGCACTAAATCATTTTCTTTTTTCTACATAGCACAAACACATATACAAGCCAACTTACCACTGGGTCTCGTTTTATTTACCTGACTTCGCTGTCATAAAATAGCGCTTCAAGGATGTACAGTCAAAAAGAATAAATCTTTGTATGCCATATGTGAATTAACGTACTTGTTAGCCTATGTATATCCAGATAACTACCTAAAATATATTCTCATGGAATTTATAAATAGATGTGTTAAGATCTAGCAATGCACCAAACTACACTAGCATTTTTGCTAGTTGGCTGAAATGAAATTTACTTTTGCGATTCTCTGCCCCTACAATATTTATGCCTAGATTAACAAGAAGAAGCTTTATCACACTAAATGAAATTAGTTACATAAATTGTTTATATTCTATTATTTACCAAGCTTTTAAAAATGTTAACAAAGATCTTGGTCAACAACTTCTATAAGCACTCTTTGACTTTCTTCTATCCTTCTTAACAACATTCAAATTTATCCATTTCTTTCTCGTCATTAGCGCCTCTCACAATTTTTTTTTGCATATATCCAAACAATCTTAAATGATTTTTAATAATTGTTTCTTCAATAGATGCTATGCCCATCTATGCTAACATTAAAAGGGGGAAAATAATATTAAATAACTATAAGCAAGGAAAAACAAAAATATCCATGATTGAATGAATAAGCATATTTTCCCACTCCGAGTCAGACCAGATCTAGCTGGCTCCCTTTGCCAACGGGAGAACAACTTCGGAATTTCTGATTTGCTGCAGCACTAAGCAAGGCTTTTCTCCTATTGGAGCCGCTATCCATATATTCTTGCAGAGGTGGAAGACAAGCTTCATCTCCTTTGGATACTTTTCCTCGAATAATCTGTCAAGTCACAAAGGGATATTTTCACATGAACATGCCATATATAACACATGATGAGTTGGAGTAAATTATGTTATCTTCCTTTTATTTTGTTCTAAATAAGACAATTAATGCAGTTAATTTTATATTTATAACTGACTATTACACAATCTGTATAGCTGATTCTATTTAGTGAGATAAAACTTCTTGCTATTGTTGTATTGTGCAGAGGAATTTTTTATATAGATCAAATGGCAAAGAAAAGACATCAGTGGATCGGGTTTAGCAAAAGTTATACTGCAGGAGAAATTGCAACTACCCACTTGATCTTTGCCTCCCATTGCACTACCCTTTCTAATCTCCAGAAAAGTAGCATTGGTCCCTGATCTATTAGTTCCATGGTAATATTTCTTCCTTGTTGGCCCAAAAAAAATCATTTCAAACAATAAGGTTAATAAATAAGGCAGTCAACTGTGATTTTTCGTTTGTCGAAGACATTGTGATTGGGGGTGGACCAAAATAGGGCATGTTAGTTTCCCCCAACATATTTTGAATCGACAAAAATATTTGAGATGCTTCTGCTAGAAAGAGTACAAACAAATTTTCATTTTATTCTTTTTATTATTATTCAAAAAATTATAGGATTTCTCACATGGGAAATAATCTTTACCTTTGATGCCCAGGACCTTTCAGCTTGCAGACAAACATCTCTAATGTCTCTTCCAGACATGCTAAGAACAGTGAGATTCAACGAGGTAAGAATGTAAGTGAAATGTATGTAGATAGAGGTTTCAATGATTATAATATGTAGAGGCAAAGGATAAACATCAAACATACCCTTCTGTAATTCTTGCAAGTTCATCTAATTCTGATTTTGTAAGGTGCTTGGCGTATTTGGCAGCTATTTCCTTACGGTTACCATGGTCAGGCAGGTCAAAAGTGATCATAGTATCAAACCGACTAAAAAATATAGAGAAGCAACAGCCAGGAATTAGGATTTACATGACCGAGTCTCATTTACATGCCACAAATCAAATTGTCCTCAATCTAACCTGATTAACGCTGGATCAAGGTCTTGCTTTCTGTTTGTAGCGCCAATGACAATCACTCTCTTATCCTGCTCAAACCCATCAATCTGCACAAGTTGGTTTTTCCTGTCAATTACTAAAACATTTAAGCTATGGATGAGCATCAATTAGTCACTAATCCAAGGCTGTTTATGCAATAAAAATAACATATTCAAACACCTTGTCCGATAAGCTCATTCTCTCTTCCATGCACGATAGAATAGCTTAATTTGGACCAATTAAGCTATTTTCTAGCACCTCCAAACTCGTGAAACTTTAAGTGCTTATGGTGACAAACCAGAACTTGTAAACAGAAACTAGTCCCCGCCAATGCTTAAAGAAACTTGTCAAAAATGTCCCCAAGTTCTAATTTTTTCCCTTTTTCATTGAAACCATGTTATTGTAATTTTACCCAAGCAAACACTTAAAGAAACTTTAACAAAGTCCAGCTTTATATAATATCATATGCCATTTGTGTAGAGCATGATGCTTTGAACAAGTATAACCTGTCGCAATAAGACTGACAATATCCTGCGCGTAGCTTCATGCATTTCACCATCACGGGCAGCAGCAAAAGAATCTATCTGCATCCCAAAGAAATGAAAACAACCACCAAAAAACATTGAAAATGGAAACTTAGAATGAAAATAGGAAGTTTCCCACAGGAAAACATAAGCCACTCTCCATCCATTTGTCCATTACCTCATCCAGAAAAATAAGAGCACCCTTGGGAAGTTCGTTTGCAAGAGAAAACACTTTTCCTAGCAAGTTCTCACTTTCACCATAGTATTTGGACATGACTACCTCCAGTGGTACATACAGCAATGGGACCCCCTGCCAAAACAAATCACACACCAATTTCAGTTCATTGTATATCATGCACTGAATGGGGGAAAATCCTATGAGCACAGCATCTGTAAACTATAATAAACTAGCAAGTAAAAGTTACAGAATCAGCACTTCTGTGCAGCTTGGGTTGTGAATTACATAGTTTATACTCTGAGATGATTGTTATATATCAATAATTAAATGTTTTTTCTTGAAAAAAAGAATATTCTACCTTCAGATAATAACAGGCAACTAGGACATGTTCAATGTCATTCAACATAGGCCCAACAACATCGTACAAAGCATACTGCTGAAAAAGTGAGATTTTAAGTTGCATACCGCTTGACTAGCAATAACACGAGCACAAGAAGTTTTCCCTGTACCTGAAGAAAAAAATGCCAAACAAATAAGCCTTCAGAATTTAGACATCAACTATAGCTGCCGATCAATTATTAAATTCTGCACTATTATCCTAACTCAGACATTACATAGTTACAGCCCACTAAAATAAGGTTTTAATTTTATTGGGAGGGATGGGGAAAGTTCAGCAGATGTAGTTTTTAAGTCAAAGCAAGTAGCAACTTTATTCACATGCAAGCTTAAAAGCCAATTGATGACTCCCAATATTTTAATGAATTTAATGGAGTTTTTAATGCAATTGGAAGTCATTTTGCGGAATTAGTTAGCAAATTTATGATTTAATAGATAATTATTTGTGAGAATGGGTATGGATATGTTTCAAGACAATTGTAGAAGTTATTGGATCAATTATGGCACTAAACTTGGGTTTTATTCTTATAAGGAGGCCCAATTTATGGGCCCAAAGCTGACAATTTCAAAGCCCACAAGAAATTGAATTCTCACTAGTGATGTTGCAGCACCAATTTTGAATGTCGCGACATCAGACCAGTTTTCAACAAAGCGCACAGTTTCACTTGAAGTCATGTTTTAAAGGGTTTCTAGCCATCATTTTCATTTTAGTTCCTCTTCAACCAGCAGCTGCACATCTAAGGAGCATTCTAAGTTGGAGAAGCTTGGGAAACACTTGGGTGTTGCAATTTGTGATAGAAATCATCCTTCCTAAGCTTTCTTTTTCCTTTTCTCTTCATTTGGATGTATATTCTGTTGAGTTTTGATATTTTCATGGCTGTTAGTGGCTGATTCTATTTGACCTAAAGTAATTATGAACTTGGTGGATTACAGTTTGTTTTTATCCATTGGTTATGCTTAATGCTGATTTTGGTTGCTCAATCTTGCATTTAATTGTCTATTTGATGTTTGGCTGCTATTAAATATGAATTTGGGTGTTTGGATTTTTCCTTGACAAAAATAAATCTCATTTGGACCCTTAGATTAAGTAATATGGGATTAGATTATTATCTAATTTGCAATTAAGATAGAAACATACCTAATTACCTCATATAATCAAATTAATTTGAGTTAAAATTGAAGTTGCCTCTTGGATAATTATATTAGAAATAACATAATTAATTTGAGAAACGGCTATTTGAGGTTCGAAAGGCCCTTTTAGCCACCAATACTCTAAATTAACAAAATTGACATTAAATTTAATTCATTGAGTAAAAGCAAGACTTATGAAGCTAGCAAGGGATTAGTGGCTCTAGGTTGCCTTGGACATTTTTAGTTGTTAGATTGAAAATCTCATTACATTTTATTCATTTCACTTTTTTAATTTTGATTAATCAATCAATTATAATTAGTTTTGCTTATTGTGAACAAAAATGAGAACTTTATTGCCTAATTGCTATTATGCTTGATTCCTTGTGGGATCGACCTTCACGTACTCATATAATACATTTGAACCCGTACAATTGAGGTGAAACACTTTGTGTGCATCAATTTTATTCACATGCAATCTTAAAAGCCAATACTCTACAATAACAGTCTGAATATCGTTGATAAAAAAAAATTGATAAAAAAAAAAGTCTGAATATCATACACCTGTTTGATATAATGCAAATGTGAAAGAAAAGCTTCTTGACTATTTTAGGGTCCTATCTCCACACTGTAACAACAGTATCAACAGCACAATGAAGACTATCATCCAAGATGCAGAATGTCCTGCTCTATTACTCTTGAAAAATGCTTGTCTTTAAAAACATCATTCCACTAAAAATTTGGATGCCTTTTCACCCACAACCCAATCAGGGACAGTGACAAAAGACATAATTCCTCAAATACCTTCAGTTTGAGAATTGCCTTTATAACATAAAGCCTCAATTAAGTTTTGTTTCATTTCTGCTATTAATTGTCGCGCACAAATCACTAAATTAGGCTCCATACACTGACATATCAGGCTATAGTAATGTTTACAGAGAACGTGGATGTCTCAAATTACGCAATCATATGAAAAACTAGATACTATAAGGGCACACCTGGGGGACCTTCAAAGAGAACAGCTCGCGGCCTGGTTATCTCATACTTATGACGTGTCCCACGAGCAATGTCATCATATACTTCAGGTCTTTGTAAAGCTAATAGTATCGTATCTTCTATTTCTCTACAAAATCAGCACTTAGGTTAAAAACTTAAAAAGGAATTTCATGCACATTATCAAACAAACACGCATATGAGCACAATTATTAATAGGTAATACCAAGGTAGAAGTAAACATGTTACCGAAAGGGTTAAGTACATAAAAGTTGAAGGACAGGATGTCTCTCTTGAGTTATATATATATATATATATATGGATTATATTAAGAAAAATACAGATGATCAAATTTGGTGGGACCTAATCACGAATTCCTGTACCTTTCTCTTGAAGCAATAAAGCCATAACATTGGAAATATGCATAGATGGAAAATTTGCTGTGCAAGTTGAACGGAATTTTAACTGATACAAAAGAAAAGAGCAAGAGCCAAGATAGGCTGAGTCTACTCTAGAACATACCGTTTCTGTTTATCATAACCAGCAATGCTGTCCCAAGCCATCTCACCATTTGAGACACCTGTGTGAGGTTCATTGAGTCCATAAACTCTCACTCCCATTGATTCAAGACTTGCTATAGATTTATCTGCAGATGGCACCTTTTCTGTCTCTCCCCTGGGTCTGCTATCTGGGGTTCTTCTTTGTCCCAACTTTTTGCCAGCTATTTCTAAAATGGATGCAAAAGCATCAAGCTCTTCAGTACTCAGGTTACCATGCTTAATGAATTCAATCTCCTGCAATATAGACTTGGTTAGTTGGAAATTAAAGGGTCCATTCCCTTTTCTTTTTCACACATTACAGAAAAAGCACACATAATGAAAAGAGAGAAAAGGGAATGGTCAAATGCTAACAGCTTTGTCAGGTCTGATGATAGGATAATAGATGAGTATGCATAGATCTTCATCACTTGAATTCCCTTGGATATCCTTTTGCTTCAGAGGACGACTAAGGGTAAGCTGCCATGCAACTGTACTGGATGGTTTACAAGAAGCATTATGTATTAATGTATTAATATAACAATATTTTGTAAATTTGGTAAAGGACTATTTGACAATAATTTGGAAGTAAAATTGGGAGATCAAATTATACCTCAAGTGGAAAAATTTAGATATTTGGGAGCCATTATTCAAAATGATAGCGAAATCAGTGGAGATATTTCACATAGAATTCAAACTGGATGGTTTAATTGGAGAAAAGCTAAAGGAGTTATTTGCGACCGTAAGGTGCCTAATAAACTTAAAGGAAAGTTTTATTGCACTGCTATCAGACCGGCAATGTTATATAGTAGTGAATGCTGGGTTCTAACGGGACAGCAAGAGCATAAAATTGGAGTAGCAGAGATGAGAATGTTACGATGGATGTGCGGACATACACGTAAAGATAAAATTCGAAATGAGCACGTATGCGAAAAAGTGAGGGTGGCACCTATTGAGGAAAAAATGGTAGAAAATCGGTTGAGATAGTTTGGACATGTACAAAGAAGACCAAGGGAGGCACCAGTGAGAAGAATGGAACATATAACTTTGAGTCCGATTAAGAGGGGTAGAGGAAGGCCTAAGAGAACTCTCTTGGAAGTTATTGAACGCGGTCTCTTAATTAATAATATTCCTAAAAGCTTGATAAATGATAGAGAACAATGGCGTCTTACAATCCATGTAGCCAACCCCACCTAGTGGGATAAAGGCTTGTTGTTGTTGTTGTTTGTTGTTGTATTAATATAACAATATTTATATGCAGAAAGTACTGAGTCTTACAGCAAAGAGAAAATTCAGAATGCATCATAAATCATAAACGCACAAATTCTAGGAATTGAACAAGAAAACCTGTCCCAAGCACGAAGTAACATATCTGAACCACCCCTGTCCTCTTCAGCCTTCACTCCAAGTTGGGAAACGAGATTGGCAAGAAGATGGGAAACTTCACATGCAGGAGGAATTTGGAACTTGATGCTAACCTGCATTGACAAATGTCACCATAAAAAATAATTTTACTTTTATCACTATAAAAGAAGATTAAAATTTAGCTTAAATAAATGAGAAGACAGCAGGTGTTTAAGTTTTCAGCAATGCATCCAACATACACACTGAATCCCGTGCTTAAGAATAAGAAAGGGTGCTGTAGGTACTGGACGGGCTATGATGAAATCCAGCACAAAGAAGAGGTTTGGGGGGGGGGAGGTGTCGAATGTGTCTCAGAAAAAAATATAAATCAAGGGGCAAGGTTGAACAATGGAACCATTTCTGACATGGTATTGCATGCATGGAGTTTAAAGCTAGTAAATGACGAAGATACTTCATGGAATTTATACTAGTATTGCATGTCATATCATCTCCAACGGCGAGCAGATGGTCGGAAAATGTATGATATCTTGAAATCAGAAACATCGCCATCTTAAAGAACTAATGACCATTTACACAAATATCAACCTTTATGGGGCACGGTCCTCATCCATTACCCAAAAAATATCAGCCTTTATGAAAGTACTCCTGAACCTGATAACAACAAATAAATCCATCTACTTATTCTACATTAAGTGTATTTTAGGGGGAAAACAAGAATCAATATCTTTTTAATCAATGGATCTTTCCACGCAAAACAACACAGATTACAATCAACAATGAATTCCTTTAATTAGAAACTGTGGGTGATAAATGCCACAACCTTTTGACCTTTAACAGCAACAGTGAAATCAGGATGAGAAGCAGATAGAATTCCTTTAGTTCTAAGTTTCAGTATTATTTGGGACCGTAATTTCCTGGCAATTCCTTCCAAATCCTCATGACTTGAAGGCAATGCTGATGATGAGGAAGGTTCCGTCTTGGCAGGCTCTTTCCAACCTGCATCTGCAGACTGCAATAAAACTAACACAGAATGAAATAATTCAAAGAAAGATCATCCAATTAGAGCATGTTTTGGGAACACAAATCAACAATATACAGTCGCTCTAGCGAAGATACTAAAACTTCGACAGACCTCATTAGCATCGGCGTATGCCGTTTCCAGAACTCCAACCCCAAAAAGACCAGCTAACACAGCTGGAAACAACGAATATGGTCCCGCAGCATCAGGTAGACCTCTAGAACTTAAAACCTCAGACGAAAAAGCAGATCCTACAAAAATCAACAAGTACTCCGCATGAAAAAAATAATCATCTCTATGAACTGGAAACAGAAAAACGGAAATGGCAATGTCTAAGTTATAAACTACAAATTCAAAACAGAAAGACAAAATTCAACATACAGAGCACGTTTCTAGCCCTGATCATTGTTCACTCCATACAGCAAACATTTACAGAACATAGTCAAGCAAGCAAAAGGCCACTGAAATCGTCAAGCCGAAGTATTTAAAAACGACTCGACGAATTCAAATAAGCAAGACAGAAACAAACTGTCTCACGAACATTCCGATACTGAAGAGCACAGATGAACATGAACTTACTGTGAGAGAAAGGGCGGGTAGTGCGGCGAGAGCAAGCAGAAGAAGGAGTTAGGGTTTTAAGAGAAGGAATTGAACGCCATAGCCGAGAAGTCCTCACTAATCGCTCCAGAATCGCCATTGCGAAGTCCAGGAGTCAAGAGTAATTCGCTCTTCGCTATTTCACTTCGTCCGGTGAACGTTTCTGAAAACCACCCCGGTGCCGTATCGCAGCGCGTAAACTACACGTAAAGTCGGTGGGAGAGTGGGACTCAAATTCAGGCCCTGCTTGCCAAGCACGGTTCTTGATTGAGTTGTTATTTTTCTATTGGTTCCTCCGAAACACGGCATTAAAACTTTGCCGAGTAATAATTAATATAAACTAGAAAATTCCCCAAAACCCATTGGTATTTATCAGTCAGTAAGTCTAGATCTTTCATTTTATTTCAAAATATTTATACTGTTAATTTTAAATTAAATTTTAAAGTAATTTTAAAAAATTAATATTAAATTTAGATTATCAATATATCTAAATAATCAATTTATAAAATTATTAATTTTTTTTACTACTATACATAAATTAATATAAATTGTACTGATTTGAATAACTCATATATGTTGAACTTTACCGAAAATATTATAATTCATAATTTCGCCCTCCACGTAAAACTTTATGGCTGATGGAGCCAAATATGGATATACTTTTATTTCCATTAAATTCTAAAATTCAACTTTATGACTTACGAATTTTAAGCCAATAAATTTTATTGCCCGCGCATGCAACAAGTGTATTATAAGTTATTTTTAATAACTTTTTTTTATCATTTTGTACTCTTCAATATAATAAAAATACAAAAATCTTGTTTTATTGAAAATAATAATAATTCACTATTTATAATTTTAATTTAATTATAATTTAATTTTCAAGCTTGAACTCAACACAATTTAATCCCTGTAGATTCAGGAAATAGATTTGGCAAGCAATAGGCAAGAGAAGTTCAAAAGGGAGGGATCTCGGCCAAGATGATTCGTGAAAGGGGGAGAGAAATGTACACTAACAAGGCAAAGGATGAAATGCAATTTTATTGACAACCACTTTAAGTTACGGTCCAACTTCAACGAAAATAAATAGGAAAAGAGAAAGAAATGTAAAATAATAATAGGACAAAAGGTAGATTTGAAACCATATAAAGAAATTAAAATAATTGGACACATGATAGATTTGTAATTTTACCAAATAATCCCTCCATCTTAATTTAAATGATACTTTTAAATAAAATTTTACGTAGTAATAACACTTTTTAAATACATTTTATAATCTTATTTTTTAAAAATAAAATATAAATTTTAAAAAATATCCTTAATTTAATACTTTATTATAAAAAAATTAGAGAAAGAAAGTATAATAGAAAGGATAATATTAAAAAAATATTATTAATAAAATTTTATTTTTGTCTAAATACTTTATATTTTGGCATGGCATGTCCACCCCAAAAATGTCTTGTAAAATGGAGGGAGTACTCCATAATCTAGATGTAGAACTACAAACTATATCCACAAACGCGCATAAAATTGTGGGATTTTGTGTTGTAGTTATGAAAAAAAATATAATAAAACATTAAATAATTTTTTGTGTTGTAGAAAGTTTTCAGTGCACGTGGAATAGTAATTTCAAATGGAATTTATGAAAGGTAAGATGTATGGGGTGAAGTGTGATATTTTTAAGAAACAAAATCTTGTCATTACTAAACCTTAAAAACTACCCCAATCTCTTTCCATTTATAAATTATTTTTAACATTTTAAACTTCAAACATTATTAATTTTGTTTAAAAATTTAATAAGTTTTTAACTTTATACCTCTATTAGATATACCTTCTCTGTTTAAAAATGTAAGACATTTTTTAAAAAGTTAGATATTAAAAAATATAAGACATTTTTAGTCTTCTAAAGTGTAATCATTGCTTTTTTTTTAAAGTATCCCTATTGATAAATGACTTTATATTTATTGTAAGGTATTTAATAGGAGTAAATATGAAAAGATAGAATTAGTTTGAAAGTAGGTAATTACTTTATTGGAGGGTGAGATTAGGTTAAAAATACTTTATAATTTTTAACGGAGAAAGTATATACTTTAAAGATAAAATATTTTAACATTTAATAACCTTTTTGTTTTATCTTTTTTGACCTATGCTTGTTTTTTAAACTGTCATAGTAAGTGTTGTTTTTTTTTTGTTACTTGTTTTGTTATTGAAGAATAACTTTCCCAATATTTAATAAAAGTAAAATGGTAAAAATATAAATAATAATAATCAAAGTGTCCTATAAATAGGGGTGAAAATAAATCAAGTCAGGCCAGACTTTAGCTAAATAAGCCTGAGCCTGTAACATAGGTCTCAAGCTTGAGCTTGCATGCAGGCTTTTTTATGAGCTCAAACATGAACCTATGATAAGTCTAGCCAAGTCTAAAGTCTGGCCAGGTCTAAAGCCTTTATAAAGGCCCTTTTCATATGTAGTCCTTTAAAAAGGTTTTTAAATTTAGGCTTCAAAATTTTTAAGTAGGCTCAAAGCCTACATTTTTGTCTAAGCCTTAAACCTTACATATTTTAGATTTTAAATAGGTTTAAAAGCTTAAAACCTATTTAAAGCCATTATATAATTAAATTAAAATAAAATTAAAACTTGTAATAAATTCAAGTAAAACATATTTTTAAGAGTTACAACTAAAATTTAGCAACAATATAATACAACTAAAATGAAATTAACTAGCAACAATACAACCTAACAAATAAAGGATAGCAACACAATCAAGACTTCAACATAATCTCATATTGTTCAAATGGCTCCTACACAATAAAAGAATGAATTGAAAATAAGTAACAAGTTTAGCATAATCCCAATTAACAATACAACAAGTATTAAAAGAAATAAATTTTTACCTTTTCTTTTCTCTTCAACCCATATTTGTGGTGAAGCTAATCCCTATCATAAATAAGAATTTCAATAGATTCTTCATTCAATCTAGCATGATATTCATCAATCACCCTTTTTCCTACACTAAATGTGGATTCTAACGCCATAATTGAGATAGGGACAGCTAATATATCAGCTGCCATCTTTGATAAAACTTTACCCTGTTGTTCTTCCACTACTCTAAGGCACAAAAAGATGAAGAATTAGGAGTTAGAATATAAGGATCATCATTAATGTACATTTTCAACTCTAATTTAAAAGGAGGAACTGAATGCCTTTGACAAACCATGTTCAACATTCATTGCATCCCTTTATCTTTTTATGGTACAATAGGATTTGTCAAGGTGGTGCCATCAAAATTCACTTCACTAGCAGAAGAGTTTAAGTCATCTTTACACAAGTCCATGTACTCAAGATATAATTCCTCTAATGCTTTTTTTAACCTTTTCAACATTTTGCTTAGCCTCGGCTTTTGGTTTATATGTCAAGGGGAAGCTTATTTCAAAAAACTAAATTTGATCTTTGGATCCAAAACACTTGTAATAGACATCAACAAGTTGACTTCCCCCTAATATTTATCAAAATTTTCTTTCATAATTGTTGCCATCTTACTCATGAATAAGTCAAAAGACTTTAATGCATCATCAATAACTTATTTTACCCTATAAACTTCAATCAGATATAAGTTGGAAGTTGGGTATTCACTACCTGAGATAACATGAGTGGCATCATGAAAAACCTTTAAGAGGTTACATACTGTCTCAATCTTTTCTCAATCCTCAAAAGATGATGCATAGTTATAATATGGCTCTTTTAAATTATAAGCTAAAAAGGCATGCTTAAATTTCATTACAATGGTCAACATCAAGAATGTAGAGTTTGATCTCGTAGGACAATCAATAATAAGTTTTCTTTCTTTAACTCCCTTCAACTCAATTACTTCACAAAAATATTTCAATCTTGTATATGAGCCATTTATGAACTTGACACTTTCACGACCGTTGTGAATGATATCTTTAATCTTCATAAGGCCATCCTATACTAACAAATTCAAAATATGTGTGCAACATCGAACATGAAATCGTAGCCTACCAATTACCAACTTGTTCAAAGGCAAGTTTTCTTTCAAATTTCATATGCAAAAATCATTATAAGAATCATTGTCAATAAAAACTGAGAATATCATGTTCTTAACGCCCAATGATCTCAAACATTTGAAAATGACATTTGCTATATCTAATCTTTGCATTAGAGTGGGCACTTTGTAATATCCTCCTTCTACTAAACCCTAATTTAACTCCAAATCTTAATTAACAAACATATTGAATTAAGATAATTAACATATGCCAAGTTTTAAATGGGTGAAAAAGTTAGGATCCTAAATTTTTAAAACTAAAACCATTTCCAATGATCTTTGAAGAAATAAATCAGAGTTCACGATTTATGCGAAAGCATGGAATCATTTCAAACATAAGTGCATTTACTAAAGGATCAGAAAAACAAAGTGATTCTACAAAAACTGGGGTGTGCGCCATGGTTCATTAAACATGCACCGTAACGTGTTCGCCTCTATGCCATACGCGCAGCTCGTGGCACCATGTGCCGTGGCGTATTGTATAATCTGTGACAACAAATTCTGCTATCAATTTGACAGCTTTTGGGTCAACTTTCGTAGTGCTCTATTCCTCCGTCTGACATCCATTTAATGCGAATTAAGTGTCTACGAAAAACTCTTTCCAAGCACCAATTAATGGCTTTAGTTTTATAATCAAATTATTATACAATTAGAATTTAGACACTCTTTCCAAAATTTATGCTTTTTCAATCTTTTTCACAAAACTAGGTGTTCAACTTATTCACCAAAAGCTAATAGCCATTGACACCACTTAAAACACATGCAATACACTAAAACTCACTTGTGTAATGCACTATGTCATATCAAATATGTAACAGCCCTCCGCTCACCCCGCCTCCCCGAGGTCTTTTGCGGCGCTGGACACTCTCCCCCTAGGCCCCACAACAGGGCGACCCCACCCCTTACGGTGAGCATCAGGAGACAAAGGCTTCTTCGCAGTAGTGTGCGGATTATTCCCCTTGCGGAGAGCCTCCCCAGGTTCGATCCTCCAACCTCTCCTACATAACAAAGTTGAGGCTGAACCTGGTACCATTGAAACAAATTTTTTTTTAAATAATTTAACTCAACCATAGTTGGGTTACAGCCACCCAACACATTTTTATATCAATAATTTCAATATAAAATATTTTATAATTGGCTTCAACTCACACACTATAACATTTCAGATAAATTTTTACCTCCCACATGCCATTA